CTGCTGTATTTCTAAAGACAATAATGTAAGAAATACATGTTTCGTAATGAATACTACACACTAATAAAAATGAGAAGACTATTGTTAGAATTTGGGTGTGACCTGAATTCTTTATTGAAGAATTCTAATTGAAGTGTACATCAAGAAGAATTCAGTTTGGAATACTATTAGACTCATATATCAAGTTGAAATTCTATTTTGGAAGGCCCATTGAAAGTTGGAAATTGATATTGGATTTGAAAAAGAGTTTGAAATGAAGAAAACAATTTTGAACGAAAAAAAAGAGGGTCGAACACCCAGCGCTGCAGCACCAGTGCCTCTACTTCATTCTTTGCCCCAGAAGATGGGTGCTTTCCTGCATCTGTGCCGGATTTTTCAAGTTTTTCTCTCATTTTTTCATTTTGGACTTGATTTTTTTGGCATCATACTTCATCAACAACTTTATTAGGAGGGTTTGAACGTCCCCTACATATTCTCTATAAATATTAGATTCTTTTATACAATTTTATAGTATGAGAAAAGTGATTACTAGTTTTGAGGATTATTGTAATATTTCTCCTTTTTCATTATTTGTGGTGCAATAAAATCTCTTAATTTCTGTGCCATATTTTTTTTGTCTTCTTTTATTCTTACTTCTGATCATATACTTCATATTTTGCCAAATAATTTCAACATCTCAATCCAATAGTTGTTTTCATATCAAGTGGTATCGATCAATACGTGATTTTTAAATTTCCAACAATTGATATCAGAGATTTTGATGAGTTATGAGTTCCAACAATTGTCAAAAACTCTATTTAAAATGGAGATATTTGTTTGACTTTGATACTCTGCCGTTGGTGTAGATTAAAATCAGTTTTTAATAAAGTTTGATAAAAGTTGATAAAATATATGGTTAAAAAATTATTGTACAATTGAAATATTTTATTAAAATTAATTTTTGACTTTAAATATGAATTAAAACTAGATTTTACCGAACAAAAGGCATATTAAATTACTTTACCCAACAGTTAAAACAACATGACAAATTCAATTAGTTAAATTATAGTCACACTAACATTTGTATTAAGTGTTTCTTTCATAAAAAAATTGTTAAAGTTTTATCAACTGTTTGACTAGTCAAACTTTAATTTTAACTACGTATTTTATAAGATCTACATTTTTTTTTATCAACTTTTCATTTATACATTACATCATTTTTTTTATCAAAATCTACCAAATTGTTTTAATCAAAAGTTCTAACAAACAACCCCAATAAGAATTACATCGTGAATACTTTTGAGCATTTAATATTAATTTACTTAAAATTCTGTCAATTAACCTATTAGAGCTTCATGCCGATAACATATTACAAAATTGTGGAATAGAAGGAATAAGATAAAAAAGTAAAAATGGAGAGGGTCAAAACTCTTACATATTCATTATAATGCTGGATTCATAGTAGGATCTTCTAAAGTAAGTAGAAATCCATATACACATCGATGATGTGGCAATTTAAATGAAATAATGAGATATGACAGTTCAATTTTAATGAGAAATAAGAGAAGAGTCCAAGTCATCATGTTTTGCTTATTTGGCCAACATATGTGCGCCACGTCACTTACACATCATCAAAAATGGTTTGATTTTGAGGTCGGTGATGGATTGGATCAAA